CTGATCCTGTTCATGGACATCGGACAAAATTCATAATTATGAAAAAAAGTCCATGTTCCTCCAACCACATTTTGCTTCAATAAACAATTCTCGAGGAAGCAGCAAAATTTACTCAATCATTTTTACATTGGAATGTCAAGGGTGCTTGAAATTGCAGCACTGCAAATGATCAAGCTGATTTTCTGAGAAACAATACTGTTCAAAACGTGCACACACACAAAAACATACTGTAAATGAGTAGTTCTTAACTGCTAAGATTGCAACTCAAAAATGGGTCATGGGTCTGTTCTATCAGGATCACATATAGCAGGGAAAAACAATGCAAAATTTTAATAATTAAAAAGCATATAATCATACATAGTTTGGATAACACAAATCTATCTGATTTTTAGGGCATTTTTGTTTACTGTAGTATGATAATGAATTCCGGTACTCTACCAGGTCACCACTTGATGTTCAGTATAAAACCGGGCTCCTGAACCACAATCAGTTGAGATCCTTAAATAAACTGCATTTATTTTATATAGAGAAAAAGTTAAGTTCTCACTCTGTGCACTGCCTTTCCTCTCACGGAGATGTATTGCTTTAATATTCTGTGAAGCATCACTTATAGGCAGAGGTTCTAGTGTGGCCACAGGTAAGGTGCTTGTTTAACTTGGGACAGCTTGGTCTGTTCCACTACAGCAGTGTCACATTTATGCGTTTCTGACAAACACACACATACACACACATTTGTGATGACTTACAGCGGTAAAGTAAACACTCACACTCTTACAACTTAAAGCACAGCAGTGACAGCACACAGTAATGAATGCGGAATGAAAACGAAATGTCATCTAAAGACACAGGCCACTTCCCATTGGCTTTGCAAAACACAGCCATTTTTCTTGTTAATGTAGCATGTCGTATTTGTAACGCGACGGCGTGAAAATTAAAGGTTGCATGTCTCACTTGGTTGGCAATATATATTTGATACCAGCAGTAAATCAATGCCCTGTGCAGAAACACGTTAATGGAAGCCAATATATTGGAATAGAATTTGTTAAGGGAGCGGGAAAAAAAATAAACAATTTAAAAAAAAATGCAAGTGCTGAGAGAGCAAGAAAAACTAAGCCATATATTTTATGTCACTGGAAAATGAGACGATTTAAAAGGAAAAAGAGATGTGTGAGGGGAAGCTAATTTTCCATTTTGAATCACTTAAATATCTCTTTAAAAGAACAGGATGGTCCAAACCAACGGTTTCAATCTTTACTGAGCCAGTGATTCCAAGCCTGACTCGCAGTCAACCAAAAAAAATAAAAATAAAAAATACACAACGTTGGGTAACGGCATATATATATATATATATATATATACACACACACACACACACACACACACACACACACTGTTGAGTAACGGCATTACGTAATTTAATTACAAAATAGATGTATCTGTAGTCTGTTACAGTTATTGGGACAAAATATGTAATTACAGAAAATGTTAATGATTAAAAAAGGGGATTACATATTAATATTTTAATAAAGTGATGCTATTCTGCTGCTTTTTGATTGGTTCTCTTGTTTGAATTTGCAGCGCACCAGTCTGTCAATTACATCAATCCACATTGCTGCTGAAAGCTTTAGCATACAACCTGTCCAAGAAGATCTTAAATTAAATCTCAAATCTCAAAGTAAAAAGAGGTGCTAAAGTCTGATTTTGTGGTGGCTGTGCTTTAAAATAAAATTATCTTAATTCAAGTGATGTAGGATTTGAAAGTCTGACAATAATTAGTGTTGAGTACTACAGTACTGTAAGGTTAACCCTGCCTGGTTTAAATGTTTGAAAATGATTAACAGTTGAATTTTTTTCTTTTTAGAAATTGAGTAAAGTAATTGGTTTCACTTTATTTTGATGGTCCCTTTAACACATTCTGTTGACTAGAAGTAACGTTGCACCTACATGTCTACTAACTCTCATTAGAGTATTAGTAGACTGGTAGGGTTAGAAGAAGTTTGCATGTACTTGCAAAGTTACTTATAGTCAGTAGAATGTCTGTTGGGAGACCATGACAATAAACAGTTAGCAGATATTAAGCAAACAGTCTATTAATACTCTGATGAGAGTTAGTAGACATGTAGGTGCAACATTACTTATTGTCAACAGAATGTTCAAAAGGGACCATCAAAATAAAGTGTTACCAAGTAATCAAATGTAATCAGTCACATTACTTTAATATTTCAACTAGTTACACTACTTTTTTTAATAGGGCAGCATGCAATCTGTAACCTATTACATTTCCAAAGTAACTTTCCCAACACTGCATATATTCTAAAGTATTTACCCAAATATTAACAAATGTTTTAAGTATAATATTTAAGTAAAATATTAAATCTTATCAATTTATTGTTATAATTTAATTATTTAATAATTTTTCTTTTACGTTATATTTTATGTATGTTCTATACTTGGAAAGGTCAGTGAACTACATTTTTGTACTTAAAATAATATAATATTCTGTGAAAGTCCCATTGACTAAATGAATGACATCTATTTGGTAAAACAAAGATAATACAGCCCCTTATAGCTTTTCTCTGTGCTTCTAAAACAGCAGCATAATGAGTTCCATCTTTTCTGAGTGGGGAAAAATGGGTCCATATTTCAAAAAATGACTTTGAAGTCCAAGTGGAAGAGAGTGGGGTTCATTATAGAGTATTTTTGTGCCATCTTTTGTTGAAACAGTCCAAATAAAACGTGTACAGTGGTGTACATCTCATCAAAATTTGCTGCACACAAACTTTACCTTTTTGTACCTTGTGCTGTTGTTATTACCGGGGCTAATGGTATGTCTGATGTGCCCTGTCCAAAACTTTAGTCATTGGTGTACATCAAAGCTGCTCTCGTCGCGCTGAAATATAAAAGACATCGGAATCATAGACTATACATGCATAAATATATATGACGAAATGCACTGAATCCTGACAACATTATCTGCGATTGTATCTGCTATACAGCTACAGACATATTCGATATTTAGTGATCAAAGACAGATGTATTAATCACGTTTTACTTAAAGCGGTATGTGCATTTTTTTTTATGTGGCGAATGGCTTCTGTTTCTTTCCCTCGCTCCCCCCAAACGTTTGTTCTGGTAGTGTGTTAGTTTGATGTGCGGCTATGAAATTCCACGAAAAGGGTGGATTGCTTTACGGCAGCAACAAACGCACGTGTACAGCTATCCACTGTAACTGCGACAGTGTTATATTTACGACAGTAAATTTCACCCACTTAACTGTAGGGGGCTTCAAATCCCAAAAAATACACAAAAATGCATACAGCTGCTACAGACAGCTGCTTTAACACTAACCAGGAGTTATTTTGTTATTTTGAATTTTGTTATTTGGTATTTTTGGTATTTTGGAGGTGGACAATTCTAAAATCTGGTGCAGGTTTTCTCTTGACAAATGATAAATTGACAAAAATAGCTAGCTGGTTCACAAGTCGCTAGCTAACAACAGAAAAGTCAATGGGTATCCGGAGATACAATGAAACTAAAGGGAAACAAAAGAAACAAAAAATCCACGTCAGTAGGCAAGAACTTTAATGACAAAGCATGTACACAATGAGGGTAATACTGAACAAATACCAGCAAAGGGACATTAACGGATGTCGGTACTTCTGTAAAATGAGAACGTAGAATGTTGCAGGTGTGTTACGTTATTCTTTCTGCTTTTAGATCTGTATATTTGTACAAAATCATGACGTCTTCAGGTGCTAAAACGTATTTATATGAAAATATAGATTTGTATACATGGACATGTTTATATGAAAACATGGAATCATATAGCAGGATACGACATGGTTTATGAGAAAATGCCCAGAATGAGCATTTAGGAATAGATCATCTGAAAAACAACAACCAGAATATCACTAAGAGAATGACTATGGGATAAAGATGAGATCATATTCTCCATCTTGAGTCATCAGATATTGTGACACTGCATCTAAGGCCTCGTGTGGATGGTGAACGAAGAGCGTTATTGTTACAATCCAGTATATTATTCTGGTTGAAGAGGTGTCAGCGATGGCCTTGGCAAACACATGAGCTCAACATCTCCCTCTCACATTCTACTATATGGTTTCTCCATAATTTAGTCACAACTGACAATAAACTGGATAGTGCTTAAACCAAGAAACTTAATAAAAAAAACAAAAAAAAAAACAGTCGTTCTGCTGTACCGAGATTCAAGGCCAAAATTAAATGAAACTTCATACAGTAAAAGTCAAACCAATCCCATAAGGAAACCTGGAAAACAAGACATCTTGTCACCCCACCTCGGACAAAATGAGGTATGTATGTTTTATAAAAGAAAAGAGTTCAAAATCACCCCCCTTAACTTGTGGCTACTGGAATGAAGTTGTGTTTTTGTCACAAACTGCTGTTGTCCCTTAAAATGACTGTCAAATTTTTTTATATTAGTTTCAGTGTATCTTTAAGCATTTCAGTCAAATTAATGGATTCATAAATCGCTTATGACAAATCAGCAATTTCATTAGGGGAGAGCAGGTTTAAATGTAACAATAAATTCACAACAACAACAATAATAATAATAATAATAATAATAATGGATAGTTTTATTAATAAACACAAAGTTAAAAGGTAAAATATTAAAGTTAAAAGTCTGTTCTCGCATTTCATATAACTGATGGCGAAATAGCTGACAAAACTTATTAACATCCATTAAAAATGTAATAAATTACGTTTTTTAAAAAGAAATTGAATATTAATTATACATTTTTTTTTGTAATTATTATTATAAAATTTATTTTTTTTTTTACCTCAAATTAACTGAGATGCTACATGGAATATTTGTACTTAAAAAAAATCTTTTAGAAAGGCAAAAATGTAATTGGAAAATGGTTAAAAAAGAAATTTTCCCTTATGCATTTATATAAATACTTTCCAATTACAATTAAATCTGCTCTTCACTACTTCTAATGTAGCTTTAAATAAATAAAACACCTTTGAAACAAACAGAAATAATATATATCAAAGGAAAAGACTGAACTCTGTCTAAATGGGGAATCTGATGTCCTGACAGAACCCATGACATGATGTCTTAACATATTAAAGCCTTTCATTTTTATTCCTCCAGAGGGAAATCAGACTTGAACATAGAATATGAAACAATCAAAATGGCCTCATGACTCTTCTGTGTTGATTTTGAAAATGTAGGCAACAGCCTTCTTGCAGTGTCCACAAGAAAATTTTAATCATTTTATTTACATCCTATCTCATATTACACTTACAAATAAATATTGCATTCTTACAATCTACATTTCAATTCTACCACTGTTCATCTGTGAGCATATTTGCACCTGAGCTTTCAAAGAGAAGGTGTCCACATCTGTCCTTCCCTACAACTCTTCAGTAATATAAACAACAATGATTCAAGGACCTGGGTAAACGCTGGGGTCAGTGAGGCAGAAATATAAAGTTGCTTTACAACCTATAGGACATGTAAAAACCATGTGCAGGTGCTCCAGCCATGTAAAAAGGGGGTAAACGATGTACATTTCGCCTCAATAAAAAGATAAACATTCATACATTTACTGTACTGGAGAGTAACAGACCACTCTACTCTTGTATATTTTTCTATCACAACAATCATATGGTTTTATAACAAACACAACTCCTTTTTGTGGCCTTGTATTTCTACACGGTCCGTCCCGTGTTTATCGTCACATCTTCAAACTGTCAGGTTGTATGTCTGGATCAGTTGCTGTATGGACAGTCAGATTGGCCAGTCTCAGATCAGCTGAGGGCCACTATATGCACTTTCTGTATTATTCTTATTGTGCAAATGAACAACCTCCAGAAGGGACTCAAAAGAAATCCTCAGTCCTTTTTTTCCACATTCACTTGATCAAATGAACAGTGCATGAGGAGTCTTTTTATTCTCATCTTGCTTTTCATCATTGATGTCTTCTGTTTTTCTCCCAGAGGAGAGATAGAGAGGGAGGACTGTTGTGTTTTTGGTGTTTTTCGACTCCTTAAACAGTGTGTGTGTGCAGATACAGCTGGTACAGATTCCAGCCAGGGGGAATCCCACACGTCCTTGCACCCCAGCTCTCTTGGAATTCACACAGGAGGGACAGAGTACAAAATGAGGGGTAAAAAACAAACACACCTGGATCTGGGGCAGGCCGGGTGCTTTGAGGGCCTGTTTTGGTCTAGTTACATACTAATCTGGAAAAAGCCTGGGATTATCTAAAAAAATAAGATCTTTTGTCTCCGTCCATAATTCTGACTTGTTTGATTTGAATCGAAATAAAACAAAAAACGAAAATACATTAGTGATAACTTCTGTTTATTGACATCCATGGACTGTGATTTTCTGTACAGCTGTCAAGTTTGTTTCCTTTCTTTCTTTCTCTCACTGGTTTTGTTTGGGCTTGTTTATTCGGGGTGTTGGTAACTGGCATTCTGTCCCTGTGCTAGCCAATTGGCAGCTGCTCACTCTACGCCACCTGGACCGCTCGGCGGAGCCAGTACGAACGTGCCGGTCTCTCTTCACCCGTTTCCCCTTTTTGTGAATTTCCTACTTAACTCAAAACTCCCAAAAGATTTTATTCCTTCCTACTCCCTACTTGCATCCACTTTCGATTTTTTTAACAATCCCTCCCTCCCTCTCTCCCTGCATTCCCCCAACAGTGCAAAGGCATTTCTGGTGAGTTTTTGTGTGTCCTCCCTCTCGCTTTCCCTTTCTTTCGTTCTCTTCTCAGCTCCTACAGATTGTCTTGCAGTCTCTCCATGTAGCTTCTGAGCTCAGCTGACTGTCCCAGGTCCATATCTTGACAGACCCACTTGATGTTGTCTTCATTTCCGATAAGGATGGAGTTGGTGTAGGGCCCACCTTCGTCTGGCAGTACAGTGGCGAAGGAAGTAAACTTGACCCTTTTGCGCTTGGCAGCGCTGGGAGAGTTGTTAAGGCGTTCGACTTTTCCACTTGGGTCATTTCCCAAACAGGACCGTGGATCGGAGTGTACCTGGGGGATGCCACGTCCGTGTGATGACCCGCTTTTCTGAACGGCGCTCCCGTTGAGGAGGTATTTGCTCTCCTCGCACCCCTCATTGCGATCTATCGCAGTCGTGCACTCATTGTTGTGTGCCAGTGGCCCGTGGTCACCGTGATGATCCATCAGGTCCGCTTCATTACCGAGCCACACCCAGTCATGGGCATGGTTCATGTTGCCCTGCTCCAGAACAGGAAGCTGTTTGTGGCGGTAACGGAAGGCAAAACTGACACAGTTGATGAGGAAGACGAGGATAGCAAGGCAAAAGACTCCAAGTAGGGCATACATGCCTATTTCCAGGTCTGACAGACTTCTTGGAGCCTGAGTCAAGTCGCTCTCTGCCCCGCCAGGTAGGTCCACCTGCACTGGGAAAATGGTATAGTCCACAGGGTTGTTCTTTTGTCCCCCACCCTGTTTGTTTCCCCCTGAACGACTAGTTAGCGGAGTCTTTGCAGTTGTGCTGACTTTTTTTATGACTGACTCCTCACGTTCTACCGCGGTGTTTGTGTATTTCCAGCTATCTCCTCCACTTGATTTATCCGGCTCTAGAACCTTATGTCTCTGTTCATTTGTGCTGTTGTCCAGACTGTTCTCATCATGAGTTACACTCCTCTGCTCCAGGTCGTTCTGTCCGAACTTCACTTGTACATTTCCTATCCCCATTGCCAAAATGCTCCTCCTCTTGGATTTCTGGCAGGTTTCTGAGATCATCATCTCCACGCGCAGTAGTGCTCCCTGGCCCTCGCCTTCCGCCACTATAACAGGCCAGCGTTGGGAATGTTCCTGATAGGTGGAGACCACATTCTCATCCAGTGAGGTGATGGTTAGAGTAAAATCTTTATGGTCATAGATATCAAGAGGGGTCACAGAGCCATCACTGTACTGAATCCATGCACTGATAATGGCTTCCTGTAATATAACAGAGAGATGGTTAAGAACAAATGCATTATTTAAAGGACTAGTTCACCCCTAGTGAAAAGTCATCATTTACTCACTTCAATGTTGTTTTAAACTCATGACTTTTTGTTGAACAAAAAAGGAGAAACTGATGGAGAATTGTACTGCTCGCTCTTTATTGAATGAATCATTCTTTTGAGTTACATGTTTTCATTGATTTGGTTGATCCATTTCACAAAACCACTTTGAATGACTTGTTCAAAAATCTGGTTCTTGGCTCAACGATCCAGTCACAGGTTTACAGGAGGTGAGGAGAAGATAATCAGTGACTTCAGCAAATGTGTATGTAGTGCATGAGTCATATGAACCGCTTTTATGATGAGTTGTGCATCCTTTTTGAAGCCTCAGTATCCATTCATTGTAATTACATAAAAAAGCCTGAGTTCCCTCCTGTTAACATCTGCGCAGTCAGTCAGTGAGCTAAATTTGAGAACCAAAGCAGTCTGATTTGCAAACAAATTATTCAGACTATTTTTTGAACTGAAACCAAAGCATTTAAAAGATATGACTCAAAAAAATGATTTGTTCAAGAAAGAATGGCTAGTACAATTCTGCACATATTTCTTCTTTTGTGTTATGGGTTGAACGACAAAAGGGTGAGTAAATGGCAACCGAATTTTCATTTTTGGTATCCCTTTTAACAACAAAACCAAATTAGTTTGAAACATTCTCATTTATATAGCTACTGCATCATTGTCCTTGGAGAGTGAAGGCTTATATACTATACAGCACTGCAATGTGAGAATGAGAGTTTCTGCTCTGAAAACATTTTAAGTCCCTGAACATGTGAATCAAAGCACAAACTGCCTGTGACTGGAACTGCAATGGCGTCTAATGGCAAGGTTATTTCTCTTAATAAATTCAAAATTTCCCATGATAAATGCAGGGTCACTACAAGTTAAGATTTACCTTAAAAACTCAGTAATTTATACTCTAAAACAAAGGAAGAGGCAATTAAGTTGACATGCTGAAAACAATAAACTTAACAATAAAAGTCAGGCAGTAAAAAGAATACATTAATAGTTCAGAATGCTGCTTTTTTTTTTTGGTACAGACTCAAATTCAAGGTGGCAGTATAATTACTTTTACTGCTAAAACAAGGAATTCTTTCATTTCAGTCACCATAAACTACAGGAAAGAATAAGTCAACAGTATTAAGGGACTTTATTCGTGATTGCAGAACATTCAAACATGGTATGCTTTCAATACATTGGAAAGAAAAGCATGTATGTTTTTTAAAATTTCCACAGAAGTAAGTTATACAATTTGGAATGACATTAAACAAAATGTGTAAACAATGACATCACTTTCATGTTTGAGTGAACTAACACTTTCTTTAAAACTGAAGTGTCAAGTTTTCAAGAAGCTCACAAAAATATCTGTAGCAGCACTTGAAAAATGTGCAAATTAATTTGAGCTTATCTAAACATGTAGTCGTATATCATTTAAGAAATACTAAATACTATGATTGGAAAGAGAGATGTAATTATAGGATATGGATTATAATTATATAGGATGTAGAGTGTGTGGAGTTAATCACAAATGCTCAAGAGAGTGAAAAAGCAAAATGCAGTGTTTAAACAGTGAACAGCCTCCAGATATGTGGCCACCTTGATTTTGGCAGCTTCTTCAAATGAGACAAAAAGCATTTTTCTTAATATCCGTTATTGCCAACAACTCCAAATGAGACACTTGCAGTGTTTTCCCACCCACTCTCATTTACTCATAGTTAACCTTGGGCCCTGTGCGTGGGAAAACTCTGGAAGAAGCCAGGGAAAGCATTTTTAGCAGAGCCGCTATTTTAGATACTTTAATCAGATGATTCCAAACAGCACTGTAGGGGGAAGTAGGATATTAGAGCTATTCAATTCTCAGTTATAATAACGCCTGCTAAAATGAACACCGGTGCCTCTAGTGAAGGGCTATGGGTTAATAGAGAAAACAGAGGCCAGAACATTTTGCAGAATGTTGTTTGCATACTGGATTATTTCCACAATAGTATCTGTACTGTTGGCAGGGCCGACTGTGGACGGTTGATAAGTGTGCTTGACAAAGCCTGGTTTAAAATGTTGCATGGTCAGGAAAGCATGTGAAAGATTGTTCCTTTAACTGACTTTTTAAAATATTTTAGTTTTTACATTTTGTCTCTAATATATCTCAATCTCTCCTTATCCACAGACTCTTGAAAGAAAGAAAAAAAAAAAACTTAACCAGGTAGCGTGAATGGAAATGGAAATAGCTGAAATTCTAGTTTGTACTCCCAGCCTCATGTTCTAGTTCTGCAGTGTTCCAGTAAGTCTCAATAAAGTTAAATTATTGTGCTTGAACATTGAAGCTAATTATAATTTTATAATTTTAATTATCGATTTGTAATTATATTAATTATAAATTTGTAACTTGAATGTGCGCAGGGTTCTGGTGACAGGCGGACTGTTTTAGAACTATGGTGTCAATTCACAGCAGTGTTAGCTTTTATTTCTTAAATGTTCAAGCCAATTCACTATAGCCTAAACCTCTAGTTCCAAAACAGTTGGAGCCAACTTACAGTAGCCCCAATGTCTACAGTAGCCTCAACTTCTAGTTTTAGAATGTTATAACCTCGATGATTTTTTCCATAATACATAGTAGTTTATGGTAGTAAATTAAGTATTCTGTTGGTCATTTCTCATGGATCTCACCTGTTTGGGTGTGTGCAACAGGTCCTGAGCAGTGGTTGTGATGTAGAAGGCTCTGTTGTTGGTGGAACTGGGCTGCAGTGAGAGACTCAAAGAGCCCACCAGCTGAACTCCCAGATCAGTGATGGTCACTTTATCATCCACCACTGTGATGGCCTTCTCAGCCAGAATGGAGTCAGAAAGAGGGGATATCACCTGGGAAATACAAAAGCCAATTCTCACATTGTTCAGATAAATGCATATGTCATGCTATCTATCTATCTATCTATCTATCTATCTATCTATCTATCTGCATGAAATTTACTCAAGGCATTTTAAATAATTTATATAAATATTTGAAAATATTTTCCTGTTCCTCTTTCCATTATATAATATTTCTCATCCTTATAAAAGGCGAGGAGATACAAACTGACGCTTTGCAATTGCTTTACTATGACAGACAGGCAGTATGACAGGTGAACGAAGAGCTCCCAGAATCAACGTGTCATCGTAGAGCACCATATTCTGTTACCGTGGACACAAACTGTTGAGTAACACCATGAGGATTCCCGAGCTGAAGGGAGGAAAGGAAGAAAAAAACTAAAATGGCAGGAAATCAAAAGGGGTGGCAGAAGCCTAAACGACAGGGAGAGAAACAACATGAAAAAAGGACTGGAGAGAATTCCACACAAAATAAAAACAAACTCAAAACCACATGCAAGGTATTATATAACCAGCACGAAGTTGGACCAACATGTGAAACATGATGAAGTGCAAATGGAGACAGACATGAAAACACACATGCAGAGGAAATTAACATAAACACACAGGGTCTTTTTTTTCCCACCGATCTTTATTTGTGTGCTGACGTCATTTAAAAAGCTGCTCACCAAACAGATGCAGTCAAAGAAACTGGCTATGAATAAATTAGGAATGGATTTGATTCCCAGGGAATGCATATACTGTACTGTACTGATAAAATGTACATATTGAAAGCAGTGTAAGACCCTTTGGAAAAAATGTGTCTGCAAGATGTATAAAAGCAGATACAGATGATAGCTAGAAAGATATTTACCTGTATATTGGTGATGCCCGGGTCTCTTCCCACCAGCACCCTTCCATCAATTAGTCGCGCAAAGCTTGTATCTTCCACTTTCAGGAAGTCCAGGACCATCTCTGTGATGTCGGCTGACCAATCAGAACCTAGCATGTGCACAAGCTCCCCACCAGGGCCAGCTGGCTCGGCTACAAAGTGTGTGAGAACACGCACCAGAGCGTGCTGATACTGCAGGGCACAGCCTCTGCCCTTCCTCTCATCCTCCTCATCATCTTCGCTGTCCCTTGTCGGCCTGGGCAACACAGAACACAGATAAGATAAGAAATTTAATCTCAAGAAAATCTACATGTTTAGTAGCTGTTGTATGATGATGAAGTAGTGACATTATTTTGGCTTATTTTGTAATAAGACCCTGCAGTGCAAGGGCAGAAAGACTATAAAAAGCTACTGAAATGCCATTATGCATAATCATAATATTTAATAATACAACACAAATGGGTTGATTTGGAGTTGGAGTTGAAATAATGAGATACTAGTAATGAGATTCTAAGAATAATGAAATACATGATAATAATGATTCTAAGAATAATGAAAAACAAAGTCAAAATAACAATACCATCTTGTTCTTTACGGTTTCCTTAAAGGGATAGTTCAATCAAAAATAATTCTGTCATCATTTACTCACCCTCATGTTGTTCCAAACCTGTATGGCCTGCTTTCTAACATGAAACTCAGAAAAAGATGGGCCATGCAGGACTTTTCCATAAAAGTGAACTGGGACAGGGGTTGTCCAGCTCCAAAAATGTGGAGAAAAACAACATAAAAGTACCAGAATAGTAGTCCAAATGGCTTGTACGCTATACGCCAGCTTTGTGTGAAGGAATTTAAATCATTATTTATTGAAAATCTGCTGTTGTTCTCACATCTCATTTTCACCCTTGCATAATAAAACATGCTATTTTTATTAAATCTTCTTTAGAGCATTCTTTCACTGTGTGGAAAAGAGCACTGTGAACATCTACAGAGGAGAAAGTCATTCAGGTTTGGAACAAAATGAGAGTGGGGTGTAACGTTTATTATTATTTATTAGCTCTAAAAAGGGGAATATTTATGACGAATTATAACTGGTTATGATTCATAATAAATATTTAGATTATATCTTCGAATTAACTGTAGCAGAATCAATATTACAATTATTTGATCTGTCCGTCCACCGAGCAGACAATATAATAATTTATCAATTCAAGGAATATTTATTTTCTGGCCACGGAACAATAAACTGTCCTTCTTTGTACAGTGCTAGCAGTAATTCATAGCGAAATGTAGCAAGGGTTCAAACATTCATTGACTTGGAACTGTGAACAGTAAACAGAGACAATTCGTTGTGAATATAAGGGATTTAATAAAATGAAACTATATCTAACATATAACTAACTAAAACATATATATATATATATACAGAATTAACCAAAGACGAACGTAAAGTTTCTGACCAGAACTGTAATTTATATGCAAATGTCAAAAGGCTAAAAGGGGTCTTTTAAGCCATAAACAGTCCAACGCACATGCATGATCCTACGCAGACGCTACAGGGGCAAATGATAGAAAGCACATTTTAGCTTATTTCTTCAAATGTTATACTGAGGGCCAAGAAGAAAGCAATTATAAACATTTTTGGCAAAGCTAAGCTTGTATATTTCAATGCAGCTGGCTATCTGACTGATTAGAGCCGAGGAAAAGCGTCTGATCGCCAGCAATTATCCAATTTTCTTTTCTTTTCTTTTGTTCTCTGCTTTTTGTTTTATTTTCCCTTGCCTTTTATTATTATTATTATTTTTTGTCTGCTTTTTTCTGTTTGGTTGGTTTTTTCTTTGTTTCCCCACCATTTTATTTATTTCTCTGAAACTGTGATTACTTCAAATTTCCTGTTCACCTAGGGGGAAGCATTGCGTGGGGTCTAAGAGAGAGAGAAAGAGTGCATGTGTGTGTGTGTGTGTGTGGTTCCTGGTGGTAACAGTAGTTTTGTTGTTACAGGCAGAGAGACAGAAATTGGCCAAATTGAAAAATGGGCCCAGCAGACAGACTGAAGGCCAACAAGCAGAATTGGGCTGTGAAAGAAAAACAGACATACACACATGCTTTTCGCTGTCTCAGACACACACCTCTTGTTGGTGATGATGGGGACCCTCCATCCTTTGACTTGGCTGAGTTCGGCATCAGAGACGTCAATCTGGAGCGGTAACCGTGGCACCCAGACGGTGAGCTCTAATTGGCTGGTCAAATAGAGGTAGGTAAAGTTCACTTGAAGAGAGATATGCCCATTCTTCTCTTTCCCGTTTACCAACACCTCATCACAACCAAGTGACACCTGCAGTGTGAGAAACAGAAAGCTGAAGTAGAGGTGGATCGAACAATTGGGATTGTTTTTGTAGGTTTTGTAATAGCTGTGGCATTTGCTATGATTTTTCCCCTGCTCTAGCCACAATTACACTTATCTGAAGAGAGAGAGCACTTTTTTCACATAATCATGTGAAAATGGGAAAACAAAGAAGTGTGTGTGTCCCTTGTTAGTCTCCCTGTCTTTTTCCTCTTCTTCTTTTTTTATTATCTGGACTTCATTCTTCCCCCATCTTTTCTCTACATTTTGCCCTCTTTACTCGCTATTGTGATTAATGGTGGTCTGTATCTGCTGGATGTTTATGACACTTTGATGGGCTGTGTCTGTGTAACGTTGTCATGGTGAACAGAGCACCATCATTTTCCTAACGGTAAATCACACACACACACACAAGAGCTCAAGCAGCGTGAAGCAGTCACATCTCACTATTACAGCTCAGGGTCACGGTGGGGGCAGACTGACATTTTGAAGTGAACGCATGTGTGTGTCCACAGATCATGCAGGGCTCAAACTGCTCAAGCTTTTGTGGTTTGTCGGGTGTTTATTTAATAAACATGTTCAATTGTGTATTTCATGGTAATATTAATCACCTAACAATGAAAGCAAGAAAGAGAGCTGGAGAAAAAATAAGAGCAGTTAAGACCGATCTTCAGAGCAGACCAGACAGGTAACAATACCAGTTCCAAGTACAATATAGAACCACTTTTAAAATATAGAAGGAAAAAAAGATGTAACAATATCAGTCTTCTGTAGTACCATGTAACAATTCCGTGTGTACTTGAAAATCTAATATAAAGTCAAGGATACAAGAGTCTGTACTGATAAAGGAATGAACCACTTGTTCCATGAAGCATTGTGAATGACGTAATCAACTATTACAAATTGACAATTACACAAGATTATGTAAAAATGTGGCTTAAACAAAACCATTTATCATATTGCAAGTCTGTTTTGAAAAGTTTACATGTTAAAAATCAATTCTCTATGGAAAAAAATGAATGGAATGGAAGACTGTTGTGCTCTATAGAATATTCATTTTAGTGGTACTGGTATTGAGAATTGTGAAATTTCATTAGTATTGGTATCAACCAGACAACTGAAAACTTATTTCTAATCCTAATTAATCACCATATGTGTAGTACTTGAATGTACACTTTTACACTTAACCAAATGAACAGAGGCAAATTATTTTGGGAAAAAAATGTCAAGAGGTCTGGGAAAACTTGATCTAGGAGGCGGAGAGCAAGAGAGAGAGAAAAATATGGATTGAATTTCCATTCTAAACAGACAGTTAAACAAAGAACCTTTTAAAAGTAAGTCCAACTAAAATGATCCGTGATTCATTCAACACAGGCAATTAGAGTACACATATGAGATAAAATGTCATTCCATCAAAGTAAATGCACTCTCTCTTACACACACACAAGCCCTGAGAGGATGTATAACAGACCGCCACACAATGATAGTTGATAAAGGCACCCTCCAGAATCGCTCAAGTTTTTGTGTATGTGTGTCACTCTCGAAAGAGCAATTACCCAGAATTCTGTGCAAAGACGCTACGCTCAATTTCTCTATCTTTGCTTCCATCTCAGTTCTTACAATTTGCACCTTTTCAGTCCACCTATCTTTCCGATCATCTCCACTGTTGTTCTAAGAGCTGCCACCCCGTCATTCTCTGCAGCAGAAATGACTGTCAGGTCTGAGGACCGCAAGGCTAATGGCACAGGAAAAAGGCAGTTAAAGTGGCATGTGGCCATATCAGAACATCAAAAACATGACATGATAAAAACATTTTGGAAGCTGGCACACAGCATCACACTTCTCCTCTGAGGTTGATCATTGCATAAACCACCAACGTTTATCCAAATAAGCAGCATATTCAACTAGATTAGCATTGTATTGAAAAAAACACAGAAATGCATTGAAAATAGTACTCATGAGGCAGAAAAATAATAGTGGTGAATGGCCATTATAAACATTAACATTATTAAATTGGGTTTTCTGTCAGGTTGAATCAACACTGTATATTGGACAGTTAGAATTGAATATTCAAATAAATGCAAGAAAGAAAACCAATAACAAACCAGAATGCAACTATTGCATTGGATTTAGCATTGGTGGTTAGATTTTGTATGCTCAACATTTTAACACTAAATCAATAGGAGATTTTCAGACTTTAAGCTTTAATTTTAGTATATTTACTAGTCATTTTAGTAAATATATATTATTAACATTGCACAGGTATTCCTTGACACTGGTCTCTTGTTCATTCTTATACTTGGTTTCTCAGTTTTTCCTCCCATCCTGCAGCTGATGCTGTATTATTTCGTGACTTCGGAACGGACCTGTATAAACACTTCCCTTTGTCAAAGCCAAAGAGCTGAGCCATGGATTTGATGACACTGAAAAATCTATTTAATCTCTGTCTCTATTTTAAAGAGAGGAGGAGAGGAGACTGGGCAATGAGAGAGAAAGATGAAGGCCAGTGTTTCTTTGCGGAGAGGAGCACTGTAAAGAGAAAATTATATCTCAACAAGAAAGGGCGAACAACCCAAAAACAATTGGAGGTTTTCTAATACCTCTATAAAATAAATTGTGTTTGGCCCCATTTGGACCTTTAGGTCCTGATACTTGGAGAGAATTTAGAGAGAAACCTCTTTTGAATACACATGGATGACTTCTAGAACCAAAAGAACACCCAAAAACAATATAACAAAAATCAAAATCCTTTATATGCATATTATAAACACACACATATAGGGATTTAAAAATCTGTAAATGATGTCCATAGTACTGCCTTATCTGTATATTTATTGTACATTTGTAACATATTGGAGATACTGTATATCCTGTACCTACTGTTTATTGCACTTCTGGTTAGATGCTAACTGGGATCCCAAACACCCCGCCCGGGCAACGAAGGAGTGGCTTTGTAAGAAGCATTTCAAGGTCCTGGAGTGGCCTAGCCCGTCTCCAGATCTCAACCCCATAGAACATCTTTGGAGGGAGTTGAAAATCCGTGTTGCCCAGCGACAGCCCCCAAACATTACTGCTCTAGAGGAGATCTGCATGGAGGAATGGGCCAAAATACCAGCAACAGTGTGTGAAAACCTTGTGAAGACTTACAGAAAATGTTTGACCTCTGTCATTGCCAACAAAGGGTATATAACAAAGTATTGAGATGAAATTTTGTTATTGACCAAATACTTATTTTCCACCATAATTTGCAAATAAATTCTTTAAAAATCCTACAATGTGATTTTCTTTCTCATTTTGTCTCTCATAGTTGAGGTATACCTATGATGAAAATTACAGGCCTCTCTCATCTTTTTAAGTGGGAGAACTTGCACAATTGGTGGCTGACTAAATACTTTTTTCCCCCACTGTATGTACACACAGTATATGCATATAAATTAATCTTGTATTTTTTTTGTTTGTTTGTAAACTTACAAGCCTAAAAATTTGCTTCTTGAGGCAATTTAAACCAAAAGTATTCAATATCATATCAACCTGACTACATCAGGTTACAGCACAAATGAAAAAAAATATATATATATTTCTTATGCAAAAATGCTACTATTAAAGTAAACAATAGCAATTAGAATTAAGAAATAGAATTAAGCTTTATAATAATAAAGTATCTTTTCTTATAACTGTTATTCATATATGCGTATTTATAACTTCACTCAATGATGTTGATCGCGCCTTTTCCTCTCAGTTTTACTTCTCTATGAGCAGAATGTTTACAGTCAGTTTTTTGTTCTTTTCTCCACTTTAATTCATTCCACTCTTTCTGTTCTGTGTCTTCCTCCACTCTCTGCTCATCTCTGGAGTGATAAATCACAGATTATTTGGCTGACAATGCAAAATAGCACCAGGTGCTGCAATCCACCAATCCTATCATCCGCCCAGCTCACAAATTACTCGGAAGAATTGGCACTTGCCTCTCTGCCTCGCTGAGGAGGAAAATAGAGAGACGGAGATTGGTAGGGGGCAAAGAGGAGGCAATAAAGGGAGAAAGAAAAGAAAGAGAAAGAACAGAAAGAAAGAAAGAAAGAGGAAGACAAAGATGGTGGGCATCAGCTGGAAGGGGTGAAATCAATTTCCTGGACAGGCAAGAGCAGCTCTGGTTCACTGCTTGCAGAGGAATGGTCAGGTACAAACATAATTAAAAAAAAAAAACAGATAGATGATCCCACACAGGGGGATCATCTTCACTTTTACTGATTTTACAGCATGATGCTATATGCGTGCATCTAAACTCTGCTCTGATGAACTTGATACTACAATATGAGCATTGATGTGGGTTGGGAACAAAGATACTGAACAATCTCAAACAATATGATCAAAACTGAATGCAATACAAGTATGCGTCATGTTTTCACAAGTATTTTATTTCCTAAATAAATTAAATTAAATTCTAAAGATGTTAAAATGCTTTTTTATATTGTATATAAAAACTGTACAAGAACATGCATATTGCAATCATACTTTTTTTTGGAATATGTTATTAATGCACAAAATATAATGATAAAATCATTTTATCATGTAACATATAGCCTATGTATATAGTGTAAATACTACATAACTACAGCTCAAAAGTTTAGGGTCAGTACAATTTTTTTAAATTATTGCTTGGATGCATTAAATTAATCAAAAGTCACAGTAAAGACAATGTTACAAAAGAGTTCTATTTCAAATACATGTGGTATAGTCTGACCAATTTTAAAATGTCCTTACCAATAAACCAAACCCACGGCCATGAAATAGATTAATGCTGAGAACTGCTTGGTCTCTGAGCTAGTTTGTAGTCTATACTCACATGAACGCTGATATAAAGTTACAGTTACCCACTCATCCAAGCTTGCCTTTCTTCCAAAGAGTTTACACTGTAATTGAATTTTAATTTAGAGCATTTCCACTGCAGAAGGCAATAAATTCAGATTCCAGGTTCTAAATGTGACACTGTC